TCAGATATATAGGTTACTGTTGATAAAGCGCTAATTGGCAGAACTATTGTTCCAGCCACCAAAGACAGATTTACAAATAACCTGCCTGATATATCTCAACTGCTCTGTGTACCCATAAATACACAAGAACTAGACAAAATGACAAGCAACATGGGCACTATCTTCTCTAATACATCAGAAGCTGTTGCCCCCATCAAATTGAAAAAGGTTAGAGAAAAACTGGTATGGTACAAAAGTAATATCCATTCTCTCAAGAAAGAAACTCGTATAAACAAATCAATTTTGCTTGGTTGGAACAGCAGCTACGCTAATTATGTACAAGCTTCAGTCTGGATCCAGAACACCTGAGAAGAGATGATGCCAACCCCTCAGAGGACCTCAGATGATGGCAACCATGAAACAACATACAGAACTACGAAATTTTGCTATAAGTTTGATAGCATCATATAATAATTGCTGTTAATAGTGTTCATCGTCTGTTTGATTACGTCTTTAATTGATTACGTCTTTAATTTATTTTTCCGTACATTTCTGCCATATGTACATTAACTGGCAGTCACCACTGATAAGCTACCACTAAATATTGTAGAAACTTAATTTGCTGTAAAGTTACTTTGCAACGATTTGTATCATGAAAAGCGCTATACAAAATAAACTTGAATTAAATAATCTTGAAGGTCAGGAATGCACAGGTTTTGGGATTGTACGTCTTTGAAAGCATAATTTTAGGATACTAGCACAGATCTCTATTTTTTTTCTTGTATCCTACACTCTCAGAAAATAAGGTACAAAGCTGTCACTGAGGTGGTACACTAAGGTACAAATTCTAAATGGTATCTTTGTACCTTATTTACCCCTAAATGTGCTGTGCAGAAAATTCTTTATCTTTCTTTATCTTATTTATTTATTATTTATTCTGTTCCCAGTCAAAAAAAAAAAACGCATTTTAAAAATTGCTGGTGAATCTCATTACGCTATATTATGACCAAATCATTATTTTTTTGTCAACATGTTTTCTTTCAATTAGCACAGGTTTTGTATTTCCTTTTGGAACTGATTGGTAATAGGCCTCACTGATCTGAGCTTATGCATCTTAGTTTTTGAGTGAAAAAAGTATTATTATGTGGATAATTTTGTCAATGTTCACTCAAACTGAGATTCATTAACTCAGTGAGGGCTATGATCAGTCAGTCACCTCTAATAAAGAATTATAAAACCTGTGCTAATTGTAATCATGTACAGTTTAAATTTTAAGCAGTTGTAAGCCGATAATAAGTGTACAAAGGTGGTATATAAGATATATATTAAAGATATATTTTGGAGAAAGCAACTGGATGAAAATATGATGAATGAATGAATGAATGAATGGACTTTAATTGGTCTATTCATTAGATGAGTAGCTGCTTTTTTTGCCTCAACATGTTCTTTTCTATTTGCTCTATTCTAAATGCATTTCTGTGGAAATATTTGCTATCCAAATGCACAAGATTCACAAAAGAGATAGCTGTAATGTGTTTCAGTAAAATGTAGCTTTTTAATGCAAGCTTTCATGGCCAATTTGGTATTTATTGAGCAATGCATTGTTCTAATAAAGCCCAAGAAAACCCTTCAGTGAAAGGATGGATTAATGAGGATTAAGTTTAGTAAATTCTGCTTTTACTTTTATTGATTTGAGCTATCACATATCTTTTCTACAGTACAGATCAGACTAATATACATTTATGTAACTTTTTTCTCTTGCAGATTCCGATGCCTTATACAGTCTTTAAGCCTTTCCTAATGGACTATAACACCTCCTGATCTATTCAGTTAGATCTCACTGTTTTTCAGCATCACACCAGCCCCTATCAGCATTTGTAGCATCTTTCGCATCAGCCTCTTATGTTATGCAAGATTTTCTCACTTTCTGTGGAGTGAGTGAGGATACTATTTATAAAGGTGTAGCAGTGTTTCCTTCACTGGACATCAGTGTTATTGGTAGGGACTGTCTATCATGGATATCAAAGCTGTTCTTTATTTTTCATTTGCATGCAGTGATGGTTTTTGAAGAGTTATATCTTCAATATCAGCGCTTGTTAAGTGGTGACGTAAGAAGCGCAGTTTCCCGGTCCAAGCCTCAACTCGCTTCACTTGAGAATACTACCTCAGCAGCCGTTTATGAGCACTGTTTATTCATATTAAATATTTAAGCTAAACATTTTAAAACTTACGGTGTACACTACAGTCTCCATGCTCACAGCGTCCCAAACACAAATAATTTTTATATTTATTTATTTATATTTATATTTTCATTGTCTGGCTATCTGGGATTTCGGTATGGAGTTAAAGGTTAGAATTATGTATATTTTTTTGTAGTATTATATCACATTGTGAGTGTATATTAGCACCTTTTGTGGTTTTCTCATGGTATCTGATAGAGCGTTTGGACGCGGAAGTGGTGACGCTTGACGTCAGACTTAACAAGCGGATAGGAAACACTGGTGAGTGTTCAGTGCAGCTTTTGCTTACATCGGTCATTCTCAAAATATGGTGACAGCCCTTGAATGTTCCTTAACTGATTGATTGATTGAATGATTGATTGTTTGATTTAAAAATTTGATATTTAAGAAACACAATATAACAGGCATCATTCCATACCCATCTATAAGTTTATTAACTATTCTAAAATATTTTGACTCTAAATTGTTTTGCAAAATAAAAAATAATTTAAAAACAATATTTCAATTTGGCAGGTGCATGAAAAATTCCTTGTAACCTTGACATTTTGGGTTATCTATTGAAATATTAACGTCTAAACAATTAAAGTCTAAATATTAAAGTCTAACAACTATGTAAATAAGCAAATAAAAAGTTAAAATCAAAATATAAGTAATTACAGTAAAAAATGTAGAAATGTACTTCCAGGGCCAGTCTTCAGAGGCCTTGAAAGAGGCTGTTCAAATGCACACATGGTGAGTCAAGTCAAGTCAAGTCAAGTCACCTTTATTTATATAGTGCTTTTAACAATGCAGATTGTGTCAAAGCAACTTTACAGCATTAAATAGGAAAATAGTGTGTCAATAATGCAAAATGACAATAGTAAACACTCAATTTTCAGTTAAAGGCAGTTCATCGTTGAATTCAGTGATGTCATCATCCAGCTCAGTTCAGTTAGTCACAAATAGTATCTGTGCAATCAAGTCGACGATATCGCTGGAAATTAAGTGTCCCCAACTAAGCAAGCCAGAGGTGACAGCAGCAAGGAACCAAAACTCCATGGTGCTGATCCACCATCTGGTCTGGATACGTACTGGATCCGGGTGACTGCAATGACCATCTGATCTGGATACAGACTGGATCTGGTGGCTACGGTGACCTCGGAATAAGAGAGAAACAGACTAATATTAGCATTGATTCTATTCTTCTAATGATGTAGCAAGTACATCGGGTGTTATTGGAAGTGTTCCCGGTTCAGTTTGTCCTAATTAATGCAGCCTAAAAATCCTTTAAAGGTCCCATGGCATGAAAATTTCACTTTATGAGGTTTTTTAACATTTGTTATGTGTAAGCCAGGTTAAAGAGATGGGTCTTTAATCTAGATTTAAACTGACAGAGTGTGTCTGCCTCCCGATCAATGTTAGGTAGGTTATTCCAGATTTTGGGCACTAAATAGGAAAAGGATCTGCCGCCCGCAGTTGATTTTGATATTCTGGGTATTATCAAATGGCCAGAGTTTTGAGAACGCAACGGACGTGGAGGACTATAATGCAATAAGAGCTCATTCAAATACTGAGGTGCTAAACCATTCAGGTCTTTATAAGTAATATGCAAGATTTTAATTGATTTTTTTGTTTAATAGGGAGCTAGTGCAGTATTGACAGAACCGGGCTAATACTATCATCTAGTGGCTGAGTATCATCAGCATAACAGTGAAAGCTAACACTGTGTTTCCTGATGATGTCTCCCAAGGTTAACATGTAAAGTGTGAAAAGTAACGGCCCTAGTATTGAGCCTTGAGGTACTCCATACTGCACTTGTGATCAGTATGATACCTCTTCATTCACTGCTATGAATTGATGGCAGTCAGATAAGTACGATTTACCATGCAAATGCACTTCCACTAATGCCAACAACATTTTCTAGTCTATTCAAAAGAATGTTGTGGTCAATAGGTATAAATAAATAAATAGTGGCAAACAGGGATGGACTGGGAGTAAAAAACGGCCCTGGATTTTCTCCCAAATAGACCCACCACAACACAACTCGCTACTATCTCACAATATTACTGCAATCCTATCGCATTTATGGCATATAATATCTCAAAACCCATGGTCACCCTGCTGACAAAAACAATAGAAACCATCACAGAAATTCTAATGATTTCCACTGCAAATACCATTACAAACATTACAAACCATCAATAATGGTTTCCTGAAGTGTGTTTTGGGACATATTACATTAGGATTTAGTGGTTTTAACAAAAGCCACCAACAGAAGGCGACCAATTACCAGTAGAGACCAACAGGCGCCATTACAGTTTTCATTAAAACCAATACAATTTTCATTATAACCAGTAAAAACATTACAAATTATGTGATGGTTTCTATTTTTTTTTCAGCAGGGGATTGAAATAAATGTATTATTGTATGAACTAAAATACTTTAAATCTACATAAAAAGGGTAGAATGCAAAATGTATAATATGACAATGATAAACAAACCTAGAATCTAGAAACCTGAAACAACAGAATTCTTCAGTTTGAGTATTCATATGTCTGTCTGTCTGTCTGTCTCTCTCTCTGTGTCTGTGTGTTTATGCCATGTTAATCAGACTAATCATATTATAGGCTACTTCATTTACTCTATTTTCTAACTCAGTATCTCTGAAATGTAACCTGTTGTAGAATCGCTGCTCTCTCTTTATGAATGAATGGAATATTCATGTAAGACAATGCGGAGTGATAAATAGCAGTAGACACTCGGACTAGGGTTGTCCTAGGATTTTACTATAGTGCATAGGCCACATGCTCTATAGCGAGAGACGTGGACAAAGGTAACCTGATGTAACTGTTTGCTTTTTTTATCTTTTAGCTCCTCCCAACTGCCTTTATCTTCAAGTTTTTTGCTTGCCATCAGAGCCCACTCTCCTTCACGTCAGTTTCAGTTTCTTATAAGCATTAAGCAAAAATAGATTGCATTAGAGCCCCCTTTTGTCGACCGTCAACGTCACTTAATCTGACACTTTTTCTTTGATGATGAACCAGCCAGGGGTGCGTTTCCAAAAACATTGTTAGCTAATTATGGTGGTTCATTCCATTTAACTCTATTGGTAACGACGGAACTTGCGACCATAGTTGCTTTTGGGAAACGCACCCCAGGCTGACAGCCATTGGGTGGATGGCCATTCTGGACTTCTCCAGAACGTCCAGATGGCCAGTCCGCCCTGGTCAATTGTGTCGAACGCAGCGCTAAGATCCAGTAGCACTAATAGAGAGATACAACCACGATCAGATGATAAGAGCAGGTCATTTGTAACTCTAATGAGAGCAGTCTCAGTACTATGATACGGTATAAATCCTGACTGGAAATCCTCACAGAAACCATTTTTCTATAAGAAGGAATATAATTGTGAGGATACTACCTTTTCTAGTATCTTGGACAGAAAAGGGAGATTCGAGATCAGTCTGTAATTAACTAGTT